CACACACACACACACACACACACACATACACACACACACTACACACTTTTTCTTTCTCTCCAAGGCTTTGTGAGTATGACAAGCATCCATCAGTGCGCACACACACACACACACACACACACACACACACACACACACTACACACTATTTCTTTCTCTCCAAGGCTTTGTGAGTATGACAAGCATCCATCAGCGCACCATGAAGGACATCATGTGGAAGTATTTCTGTACCTGGGACTGCCACCCTAACTTTCAGAAGCTCCAGCGACTGGTCAGTCTCTTCATCATGGACGCCTTTGTGGACTTGTTCATCACCATCTGCATTCTGGTCAACACTGCATTCATGGCCATGGAGCACTATGACATGGAGGATGACCTCAAGGCTGTCTCCAACGCCGCAAACTTGGTTTGTTTTGTTACAAGATCGCTGGTTCTTACCTATATGCACGTCAGGTCATGGAGATATTCTTCTTCCCTCCTAGATCCTCTTGTACGAATTTTTACAATCCACACACTCTAACCACCGGCCGGTGTCTAACCAGACTAACCACAACCGTCTCATGCTAGCAACACAGTTCACTCTCACGCAATTCCCCTTCTCGCGGGAGTGTTGCACACCACAAACATGACAACATAATACGCACGTTCCTGAATCGTCCAAAAACAACCTACATGTTTTTCGCTTGTTTACTTGTTGTGATTGTTGTTCAAGTATTTATTTGTTTTTAACCATATCCGTTCGTCGTGTTTTACTATTGTATCCGTACAATGTGGGGAACTCTGTGCCACCACTTCCCAAAGAGGAAATTTACTCGTTAATCCGATCCGTACGCTTTGCATCGCAGTCTGTCAAAATGATTTTTTTTAGAAATACTGAAAGTTTCAAAGAGATCTTTGCTCTAGAAGTATTCTAAAATGGGAAGAATCCAAACCTGGGGGTACAAAATGACCCCAGGGTGAACGGATAGGGTTAATGTATATTTACTTTTTGAATGTGTACAACGGCACACCAGCAGCAGAGGAATTTTAGTTGCAGCCTGGGGTTCCCCGCCGAGCACCTTATCACATTGAGGTCATGGGGGTCAGCTCCCTGTCGCCACTGTGTCTGGGCTGACTTAATTTTTGGTACTTTTCAACTGACAGTTTTAGATGTATCCTTGCATTTGTCGTAATTTCTATTTAATACACCCGCAGCACACATTTCTGCTCTTGAGACTAAAAAAGAATGGACATTGTAACTTGTCTGGCTATTTCATTAGACGCACTAATGTCAGCAATGCTAAATTGTACAATTTTTTGGACAAGTGTGAATAAGAAAAAACATATATTAAAAAAGCTCAACAAAAGCTGTCGAACTTTTGGAACATAAACGACATAACATTGATGGAGATAATCAGAAAAGATGGTACCTGCGCATATAATAGAAAGCTGTAATTTTGCAACTTTATCCCTTTAGCACACAATTTGCTTAGAAGTAATTCCTCCTCATACAACTTTATGTATCTAATACAATCATGAATATTTGCCTATTTTCTCAAAAGTTTATCAAATTTCCCTGCGGTCTCTCTATGAACAAGCAAAAATTGATTTTAGTGCCAGAATAAAGAAAATATTATCTACAGTGCAAACACAAGCAGTATCTGTTACACTCCAGAAATTCCTTACTATTCTTAAAACACTAAACTAAGTCTAGACAGTTTGTAAGTTGACTGAATAACAGGGATGACTAGGTTTTTAAAATAATTTCTAGCTTTCCAGTGACACTGAATCAGTATCAGACTTTTCCACCTTTTATTTTCATTTCTATGACCACTGCAATAATTGACTACGTTCTGATTTCTTTATCTTCATAAGTGTCTGTTCATATTTCTGACACAAAAACTAAGAATGAATGTGTTAGCTGTCATTGTTTTTATTCTGAATAAGAAGTTTATCTCTACCCATGTATTTACACAGTTTTAAAAAATTGCATATTGTATCGTAATTGTATGCAGGCTGCCAAAGGCACAGCATAATTTATAAACAAATGCAGAGTGACTTTTTCTTGTTAAATGGTAAATTAAGAGCCAACTCTGAGTTTCTTTTGTCAAAAAAATGCAGATGTGCTTCTTTCTTCTCTTATAACTTGACTATTACTACCTGCAAAGATTTAAGATTTCTCAAGGTAAAAGACATGATATTCATATTCAGTTTAACAAAGATTTTGGAGAGATCTGTAGAGCTGTATATAAACATACAATCATTTATTCGTAAGTATGTAACTAGAATAAGACAAATTGGGTACTCTTCAAACACTTGTCTAGAACAGAAACTAAGGCACAGAACTTAACGATTCTAAAGGAGAATATATCTCAGGACATTGAGCTTTTAGTTCATCAGATTAATGGTGTAATGTGTGGGATCAGGAAGAAGTTATATTGTTTAAAACGTAGACAAAAATGGGAATTTCTTAACCGACACTGGCAAAGTCGCTTCAGGGCTCATTAAGCCCCGTGACCCCAAGCCGAACGAACTATGACGCCAAAGTATGTTTGTCTTGTCTGATCTGCAATCTGGTCCACACTGCCTTTATGGCTATGGGGCAGTATCACATGATGGACGACCTCAAAGGTGTCTGTTCATTTATTTATTTACTTGGCTTTTTTTTTAATTAATTTTTTTTCATTTTTTTTTTCATTTATTCATGCTTTCATTTATTATTCCATTTATTTATTTATTTATTTATTTATTTATTCATGTATTTATTCATTTTTTTGTATTGCTGTTTGCATTCTGGTCAACACTACCTTCCTGGCCATCAAGAAATCCACTAAGAAATGTTTTTTTAAATCAACATAAAAATTGTTGAACCCACAAAAATCAAATTAATAAACATAGTCCAAAGGGCAGAAAAATGTCGGTTTCTGTGATTTCATTACTCTAACTTACAACTAGCAGATTTTATTGCAATGCCACACATATTTATTTATTTGACTGCTTATATTGAAATCAATTCCAGGTGTTCACGGCTATCTTTGCTGTGGAAGCATTCCTCAAGATCCTTGCTCTGAGCCCTGTCATATACTTCAAGGACGGCTGGAACATCTTTGACTCCATAATCGTGGCTCTGTCCCTAATGGAGCTTAGTATGACCAAACTACCAGGTCTCTCTGTCCTGAGAGCATTCAGGCTGGTGAGTGATTATGTTAGATCTGAAATATCATGATGTCATTGGCCTAGTGGTCAGGCTCTTGGACTCACAATAGTAATGTTGGGTGTCAAATCACATAAAGGGCCCAACTCTGTGTCCCTAGGAAAGGCACTTTTCACGAATTTTCCTTACTTCCCCGTGGAAGGAATGGGTACATAACTATAGGCAGTGAATGATCTAGTCAGTTTTTAAATGTTTTATTGCGTGCAATTTTAGCTTTGCACTATAAGCTTCCCGGGATGCGGAGAATGTTTTGGAGTGTTCTGGATCTGTATGGTAATAACAGTTGAAAAGCTCATAGCGTGTGTACATCTAGTAGAGCACAAATATGTGTTATATAAAAGCAATTATTCTTAACATTAATACTATTATTAAATTGTGCAGCTCTTTTAACATTCATCTTCTGGTCTGATACGACTATATTGCCATAGTTTTAAGTTCAAACTATTGGCTTTTGGACTAAGATTCCTGTATGAAAGTAATGTATAAACCCCCATTTTGAACATGCTTATCCTAGTGTGCAAATCCAGTGTCATTGTTGTTGTTGCAGTGGAGTTACAGCCACATCTTAGAGGATTATAAAACGTCAAACTGTGATCGTCGGGGTGCAGAAAGGCATGGGGGCTTTTACTTTACTTTAACTAAATCCTTTTAAATGTATATAGTACAATAATGACAATATTGCATCTGTATTACTACAGCTACGAGTGTTCAAACTAGCCAAGTCCTGGCCCACCCTAAACATGCTGATTGCCATTGTGGGTCGCACCATGGGAGCCCTGGGTAACCTGATCATTGTCCTAGGCATCATCATCTTCATCTTTGCCGTCATGGGACAGCAGCTTTTCTCGTCAGACTACAAGACCTATGAGAGGGAAATTGATGCCTGGTAAGTCTCCAGTTTCTTGATATTATACAATTTAGTTAGTTTGTTTTTTTGTAGAAGCTTTTCTTCAAAGTAGATATAAATTTTTCAGACAAAATGTCCTGTCTAAGCATAGATCATCGAATGTTCCTGAAACACTTAAATCCATTTAGTTTGATTACAGATACAAATAATTCATTTTAATAGAGGAACTCATGATGTGGGGGTTGTGGTAAAGGGCTGTTAGGCAGGTCTGTTAGTTGTCTCCATAGACTTATATTAAGCATCTCCTTCACTCTGGTTCTCTATGGAGTGTACCATTTGACTCAGTTTAGAGTGAAATGACAAGGCAAGGGTGATTTTGAGGATGGGGTGTGACATGCGTGTTCGTTTGTTTTGGTTTTCTTTTCTTTGTTTAAAAAGCAGTTTTGTTTTAGTACTTGACCACTGGGCTGAATAATCATGAGCAGCTGCAATGTATGTAAAACCAAGCTTTTAATTTGTGTGAACTTGTCATTTGACTTTTTTTTTTCTTTTTTTTCCAGGGGGAACGTTACCATCAACAAGGACAAAATGCCCAGGTTTGTCAGATCTCTGTTGTTTCATGTGTTTATACTCAACTCATCATTTTGTTACACATTTCCTTCAATATGACAGCCCACAACACTCTCACCAGTGTTTGTGGCGTAGCGGTTAGACTGTTTACCATCCCCTACAGAAGACATGGGTGCTAATCCCATGTGAGGAGGTTTGCAGAATATCTCCATCTGTCTGCAAGGATATTATATCCCTCCTTGCATGATATGTCCCTTACTGGCAGCGGTAAAGCAGTCCAACCCCTTAATTATGTAAATTGTATCAATGGCAGAGTTAAAGATAAGCAGTTAGATTTGTATTTACATCATTGCTTTCCAGTACCTCTTCCTAATGTTACTGCATTACATTTCGTTTCTGTCTGTCCATCTTACTTTTTATGTAGCGCTAAATGACTGTCCTTATGCCTTTGTGCTTCTCTTTACTCAAACAAACATCTGTATGGCCTCAGAGTCAATCACTGATACGTTTTTCTTTCAATAAGCCTTCTCTTCTGACACTTGCTGGTTTGGTACCTTGAAATTACAAGGAGGTCTAATTGATTGTTAAATTTCAAAGTATCCTGTATTAAAACTGTTTTATAAGGAATGCTGAAGGCTTACAATTACATATTTTTTACCCCATCACACTCATATGATTTTTTTCTTTTATCTCCTTTATGTAACTTAGTGTTGAGGCGACCAGACTCTGAATTGTGAGGTGGTTGGTTGAAGGGCATCTTTGGCAGGTCCTTTTACTCTTTTTCTTCTATTGTTCTTGTCTATCATGCTTTTGTCCCGGACTTAAAGACCATAGTTGTATCGATTTGCTTCTCTTTACTCAAAAAAACCCAACTGTAACTCACTGACAATTATAATTACAATTACCTTTCTGTCCATAGGTGGAATTTCAACGACTTCTTACATTCGTTCATGATCGTGTTCCGCGTGCTGTGTGGAGAGTGGATAGAGTCCATGTGGGGCTGCTATCTAGTGTCCGGCTGGGCTTGTGTGCCCTTCTTCTTGCTCACCTATGTTGTAGGGAACCTTGTGGTATGTATGTCTTATTTTTTCAGTCTAGTGATATGTCTTACATTTTATGTGACATGTCTTAAGGCCCGGTTACACGTAACGATAACTTGTACTAAAACTGGACGATCTAGCGATCATACAATAAATCGTTAGGTGTTACCACAATATTGTAAAAAATTTGGACGATTGAACGATGGTTTGGAGACTCGGTCGAGAAATCAAGTGTTGCTTGATATTTTACGTATGAACACGTTCAGATTTGAGGGAGACGCGCTGTGACGTAGATTCACTTTGAAATTTGCTGTCGCACAGAATTAAACTCAGGACTCAAAACTTTTTTTATAATTACCGCACGTAAAAACTGATTTCATATTCGGAATCAGTGTCTCAAAATAAGCAAAGTTGCTCGCGGTGAACCTGATTTGGTGCGTTATTATTTATATTTTAGCAATTTTAGTATTTAGTTGATCGCCTTTTCTAAATACACTGTTCGGCTATATCAAAATGTACATGCGAAGGGGGGGGGTGCTTCTGTGATCTAGAGGTAGTGTTCGCCTCTCATTCGTTAGGTCCAGAGCTCGAAACCTTCACATAGAGAGCAGGCAAATCGCTGTCGTCGCAAAGAGACATGGTGGCTTTATGACGAGGAATCTCCTCACTCGATAGAAAACTGGACGATAGATTGGAACGTGTAAACAGACAACACAGTTCGATAAAACGGACAGTTCTCTCATACGACGGATCTGATGCTATTTATCGTTGCGTGTAACCGGGGATTTACTCTTTTTCCTCCTCCCTCCCTCTCTCTCTCTCTCTGTCCCTCTCTTCCTCTTGTTTTCCTTCTCTCTTTCTGTCTCTTTCTCTCTCTTTTCTTTGACAGTTATTCCAAAGCATTCTTGATTATGTTTCTCAGAACGTGTGGTGCAAGACGAATGTTCATTTTCTTTGCATTCTTTATTCCAGGTGCTGAATCTTTTCCTTGCTCTGTTGCTCAGCTCATTTGGATCAGAAAGTTTACAGCGCTCGGAGTCTGATGATGAGCCAAGCAAGATTGCAGAGGCCATTGATCGTTTCAAGTAAGCCATAACTTGAGATGGAATTCTAGTGTCAATTTTCTTCTTTGTTCTATTGCAGATGAACACTTCCCTTCAACCCCCACCAACACCCTTTCAGTAACAGTTTACTTTCTCAAATTTTTTTAATAACATAGTAATACAATTTTGTTTCCTTTTCAGCAGGGCTGCCTATGTCAGTTTCTTGTTCAATTTACGCCATTCTTTTTATTCTACTTGGACCAATTGTGACACAGTCTGAAATATGATAAGCTTTGGTTTTCTGAAGAAAACCTCCAAAACTGCATTTACCTTCTCCTTCTTCTTGCTCTTGTTCTTGTTCTCCTTGTTCTTGTTCTTCTAACCATTGCTCTACACCCCAACCATTTTGAAGACCACTTGCTATGAGAAAAATTTGAATTAAGGCAACCATCATAAGTGACCGTATTTCTTGAGAGTGAGTGTATGGGTTGGTGTACAGGTAATTTGAAAGTGAGTATAGCTACTTGTGTATGGGCATGTTTTTTAACCTAATCCGTACGTCCTGTTTTACTACCGTATCCATACGACATGGGGAACTCTGTGCCACCACTTTCAAAGAGGAAATTTACTCGTTAATCTAATCCATACGCTTTGCATAGCACTCTGTCAAAATGATTTTTTTGAGAAATACTGAAAGTTTCATAGAGATCTTTGTACTAAAAGTATTCTAAAATGTGAAAAATACAACCCCGGGGGTACAAAATGACCCCAGTGCATACGATAGGGTTAATCAAATGTTAAAGTATGCATTTTAATTTTTTTTAAAAGACAATGGTGAAAGCATGTGGTGAATTTGTTTCCAAAGAAGGATCTGTAAGTGTTCTTTTGATACATATAGCATCGGTTGTCTAAGGATTAGTCTACCTAACTTGTAATTGTGAGGTTGCTGATTTGGGGCTTCTAGCCCCAGGCCTGAAGTTATTTCCTTAGGGAAGGCACTTTACACACATTTTCCTATCTTCATCCTGGTGAGTGGGTATCCAGCAATAGATAGCGAAAGGTCCTGTCAGTATGCTAGCGTTTTAGCACCTCTAAAAATATGGCAGCTTGCACTGTGTGCTTCCCAAGAAGTTGAGATTGCTTTAGAATGCTATCAGGTCTGCTGGGGTAATATTTAAGATTGTAAAATGCATAATGCTTGCTGTTGAGTGGGAATTTGCACTATACAAATACATATATCTTTCTTTCAACCTTAAATCAGATCCTTAATCCACCAAATCCTTAATCCACAAAATCCCTAATCCACAGACGTTTTGGAAACTGGGTCAAGGTCAAGATAATTGTCTGCATAAAGGTGAAGCTGCAACGCCAGAAGAACTGGCGGCCCCCGCCCACTACGGGCCAGTCAGAGGTGAACGGCAAAGACCCTGCAGTAGTGGATGGCACTGTGGTCTCCATGGAGAAGACGCCTGATGACTTTCCTGACGGGGCCATGGTGAGCAACCATTCTTTCTCTCTCTGTGTCTGGCTTTGTGTCAAGCTCCTCTCCCCTTCCCATCTCTCTCTGCCTCTGTCTGTGTGTGTGTGTCTGTCTGTTTGTCTGTTTGTCTGTCTGTCTGTCTGTCTGTCTGCCTGTCTCTGTCTCTCTATCTCTCTGTATGTCT